TCTTAGAAATGCAAAGTTGGATTAATATTTAAAAATAAAACAATGTAATGTATCACAGCAACAGAATAAAGATGGAAAAAATCATATCATCATATAAATATATACAGAAAAAAATTGAAAAACTTCAATACCTCTTTATGCTCAAAACTCTTAGCAAAATAGGAGTATGTTTCTATAAATAAATATAGTTATATTATACTTAATGTTGAAATACTGAATGCTTTCTCTCAAAGATAGTAAATAAGATAAGAATTTTTGGCTTTACAGCAGTAAAATAATAATAATAATAATAAATAATTATTAATAATAGACATAAATACTAGAAAAAGAAGAAATAAGACCATACAGTTCTCAGATGACAGAAAAAAACCTTAAAATCATTTTTAAAAGAAACTACTATAACTTTCAAAAAATTATCCAGGTGGCAAGATACAATGATAATATAAAACTCAATTACATTTTATATACTAACAATGAACAATTGGAAAGTGAAAGTAATAAATAACACTAAAGCATTAAGTCAACTCAACAAGAAAAGGAAAGTCTTTTTCCATGTAGGAAAAAAATGAATCTCAACTCTTATCTCACAGCACACAAAAACAATTTAGATAGATCATAAAACTAAATGTAAAAGCCAGAACCAGAAAGCATCTAGAAAAAAAATGGGAGCACATATTCACAACATAAACAAAACACAAAAAACACTAACCATGAAAGGAAAACTTGATAAACCAACCTCACCAAAATTAAAATATTCTATTCATAGAAAGGCACCTTTAAACAATATTTAGACAAACCACAGACTAGAGAAAAATATTTGCAGTGCATAAAATTGACAAACGACCCATATCTTTTGGAATTACAGGAGAATTTATAAAGAATTAGTACAAATCAACAATTAGAAAGTTGAACAACCCTATTAAAGAGACTTAAAGAGGCACTTCCCAAAAGAACATATAAGAATGGGCAACAATCACAGGTAAAGGTGCTCAACATCATTAGTCACCAGAAAAATGCAAGTTAAAACCTTATGACAAATCTTTTCACACTCATAAAAGTGACTAAAATTAAAAAATTAAAAAGTTTAATAAATCAAGTGTTCACAAGAAAGTGGAGAAACAAATTCTCACACATTTTTGTTGGGAATTATGCAATGGAACAACTACTTTGGAAAATTTTTGGAAAGTTTCTTATAATGTAAATACTCATCTACCTTACTTCCCAATGATTATACTCTTTGGTATCAATATGAAAACTTATGTCTATAAAAACCCTTGGACTATTCACAGCACCTTCATTCAAAATAACAAACAGGAAACAACACAAGAATCAAGCAACAGGAGAAGGATAAACAAATAATACTATATTAATCCAATGGAATACTAGTCAGCAAAAAGAAGAACGAGTGAATCTCAAAAACATTGTGCTGAGTGAAAGAAATCAGACATTGACATTCTCGAAACACACACACACACACACACACACACACACACACACACACACACACACACACACAGTAGGATTCCAATTATACAAAGTCCAAGAACAGGCGACCCTAATCTATAGTGACAAAAATCATGAAGAAGCCCCCTCTGAGGCAGGAATTGGGGCACTTGATTGGAAAGGGGCATGAGGCAACTTTCTGGGGGTGATGCCAAAGTTCTAAATCTTGTTTTGAGTGAGGTTATGCCTACATAAACAATTGTCAAAATTCATCAAATTATATTTCATTTTTTAATTCAGGAGAAATATTTTTTTAAAAAGCCATTGCAAGTAACATATAATTATTTAGCAGAAAGAAGCAAACTAATATGTCAATAGACCTACCTAAAATTTTATGCATCAAAGGTAATATTTTTTCAAGTTTAAAAATAATTTTATTTTCAAGCATAAGTAAATGAACCCAGCTTTGAGAATTTATCCTAATAGAGAAACTCAGCCTTGTGTGTTAATATATCCAAAGAAAAACAAAGAGAAACCAGTAGTATAAAAATATTTCAGTCCCTATGAATCGAAAATAGAATGTTTCACAATCTGGAGAATTTTAAGACAAAAGAGTCCAAAGAAGCAAAGGTAAAAAGATCAAATATGGGATGCAGAACTAACAGCTGTGCTTAGTGAGTTAATAAATATGCTGAATAAAATCAAACTCAACATTGCAGTCTGTAGCTTCCAAATAATTAACACAGTAATCAGAAACACATGCAATATATAATCGGCCCTACCTCATATTGAAAGCAAGTACTCCTTGGTTACAGTGGATATTCTCCACGTACAGGTAGACTTATGAAAAGTAGACTAGATAACAGCATACACAAAGGCAAAGGGAAGGTAATCTAACTCGTGCTCCCTAACCAGTACCTTGCAGTGAATGAGATGAAAATTGTTTTATCGCCCATCTATTCTATGTCATTCTCACAATAAGAATGAATACATATGCCAGTGCCTAGGCAAAGAAATGTAAATTCTCAAATTTGGGTAGCATTTATACTTTTATTGTCAAGGCTTGTCACCAGTTTTAACAGTGAAATTATCATTTTGACCATGTTATTAATTTCTAATTAGTTAATTTTGAAAGTGTTTTAAGACCCACAAGTCAATATAACTTCACATTTCTTATGATTCCAGATAAAAAACCAGAGTTAGCAAACCCTTTAGAGGATTAAACCTGTGATCAAAATATAGGCTCTTATATGAGCTAACCAATAATTATGTTTTCTTTGGAACAGTTAGCTCTCGACAATGCTCTATCCCTGGCACACCTGTGACTTGTCAGAACACATCAGGGAGTCCCCTTTTCTAACCATCTAGCTGTTCCCCATGCACACTCTCTAGTTTCCAAACCCTTTCCTGAAATCATGTGTCCTACCCTAATACTCCCTCATAATTACTTCCACTTGAATTTTCTATTCCCTGCTCTCTACAATGAATGAGGAGCCCCAGGAGATCAGAACGCATAAGGAGAAATAAGTAATGCACCAAAGTCTCTGAAGTGAAAAGTAGCCCAGTTAATGTTATATTCTTTCCCAATTATACACCTTAGCTGTTATTGTTCTATTACATATATACTTACAGGCTTCATCTGTTCTAATTTAAATACCAATTTTTAGTTTCCTGACTTTCTTACTTCATTTTTTTTTCCTACTTAAATCATTACTATAACAGCTAAGAAGGGAAGTTGGAGTTAATTACCTTCATAAACATTTAATAATAGAACCAAGAAATCGAGTCAAGATGGAATTTCTGGCTTTAATACTACCTCTAATTTTTTCAAAGTTTACCAAAATGAAGTAATCTGAAATAAAATAGAATATGTAAAGAAGGATTTATGTGTAAGTTTTCTTAGTGTTGCTTAGACTGCAGATAAGATAGGAATATGTCTTTCATTCACTGAATGAACCAAATGCACTTATGTTAGAGAATTTCCTTTGGTATTAAAGTAAATATGTTTAGTAATGGATTTTATTAACTTATATGTAGGATAATCTCCTACTTAAATAGTTAAAAATCCTGGAAATGTAATAGCTGCACAATAACACCAAAACCAGCTTTATATAATGAGAGAACCAAAGATAATAAATGTGGCATTTACCAACTAAGTCTGGGGTTGATGAGGTCATTTCTGGAAGCAAATGAACTAGATCAAATTTTCCTGAAGAGGAAAAGGGGATTTTTGAAGATGTTTTCCTCCTCCGCACATTGGGACACTGTATAAAATGTTCTGTGCCTGACTCTGAACATGTAAGTTCCTCATAAAGATATGTCAAGTTGTACAACCTCATAAAGATTTTTCTAACTTCTGACCAGGATTGGAGGAGACAACTATTATATTAAAGAAAGGAAAAAGAACTTCGAATCAGTTGTATAACTTGGCCCCTTCTCAGTGTCAACATCTTTATCCATAACACTAGAATATACATTCTCTTGGAAATAATGATGGTTAAATGAAACAATTTATATGAAAGTGTTCGATAAACAGTAGTGGATATGTAAAGTTTAAATACCATTTTATTGATGAGGATGGTGATTATAATAAAAATAATCCAAAACAAGTTATATTAAAGCAGAAAAAATATTAAGCAAATCATTGCCCATTCCCACCAAAAGTCTTAAAAGACACATTAGTCCTACAGATTAGCTCAAAGGATGTGATTATATTATATATCTAAGTAGATGGTGAATGGCATTGATTGGATCCTAAGTTCCCCTCTCTTGGATTTCACGAGGCCCATTCAGAATGAGCCAGGTTGAGAACACCACCAATTTCATGTTCTGAGTTCTTCTGTTGGCAAAAATATAATGCAAACAGCTTTATAAGTGCTATTTTCAATGAAATATCACAGAACAGCTTGTCCCAATGATATTTCTAAAGCTTGCCTGCAAACCGCCTACTGGGAAATCCAACTAAAAGAGAAGAGGGAAGAGAAAGAAATCCATACAGACAAATGACAGGAATGGGGGGAAAAAAAAAAAAAAAGAACAAAGAGTAAAGAGAGACTGGCTAGAGGAAAGTGAGCACTGGAGGAAAATAAGGAGCAATGAGATATACAATATCAAACACAGACAAAATTAGTTTGAAACTACAAGAAATAGAGAATTTAAAGAAAATGTATAAAAACAACTGGGGTTGGAGGATAGAGACGTGATCACAGATAATGCAGCATGTCCAGGGGAATGAAGACAAAAGGAACAGAGAACACCAGAAAATATGTAATGGCTCAATAATTGGAGCATAATTGTTAAAATGTTGAGAAAAGAAGATAATGTGAAATAGCCCTATTTCTAAGCTTCACTTGTTTTTTCATGTAATATACAAATTCATTTTTCCAAAAGCGAAAACAGGTTTCAATGTCTATCATCATTGGAAAGAAAACACCCTCTTCCAAGTCCCTTCTTTTAACCTTAAAATCAATTTACATATCATAAAATAGACCAGACATTGCACTGATTCAAAAACAAAAATACATCATAGTGCAGATAATGGCATTCTGTGCACTTACCTGGGGTCGAATAACTTTTACAATATTTTTGAGGGCAGTGTCAGGGGATGGAGGTGAGCAGTCAGGTGTTGGGCCTGTAGAGCTGTTTCTATGGTTACTAGTTCCTGGAGCAGTAATTGCTACCTCAGAGGCATTATCTGTGAATAAAAATAGAATTGCCATGAACCTAATCACTCAGTTTACCTTTCAAGACTCGAAATCACTTTAGTGAACATGAATTGAGATTTCAACAATGCTGTTATCAACTACATGATCTTAATGAGGAACATGCGCAGCAGTATAAAGAAATGTTTATTGAATATATTGTTTTCTTTCAGAATGGTATCACCCTCTGTAGTATTATTCCAAGAAGAGTATTATTATTCAATCCATAAAGATAGATTATCCAGCATAGCTGTTAAGACTGCCACTATTCCATGAATGACTAAAACCTTACCTTAAGTAAAGAACATAATTTTTTAAATGATTGGGCTAATTTTTTCCATAATCTTTTAAATGAGTATTAATCTTTATTAAAATAAAAATTTTATATCTCCCTGATTCATAAAACACAGATTCAAGTGTCCTCGAAGCACTTTTCCCAGAAATCCCTCTAGCTATAAAAAAATATCCCAGTGAATTAACCTTGATGAAAAAGTGCAAAATGGTTTTATAATGTAGACAAAGACAAAACTATTATCTCCAAATAAACATACTCTCCTATGTGGTCAACTCTAAATGAACAAAATCTCAAAAATTTAAATTAATCTTCCCTTATGTTGTATATTTGGGGGGTGGGTAAAGAAAATGATGACCTGAAAATCAGCAACATGTGTAACATTTTCTTCATAAGTTTATATCAGAACAAAATAACACCAAATATGCAGTTTGGGAATGTTTAAAATACTTAGAAAAAGATAATGATGAATGTTCCATAAACAACTTCTACCACAAAGAAAAGTTATAATATTTTAACAATTTTGCAATCCTCTATGGCTTTTTATGAAAACTATTACAAGTTCAAATCTGCAAAAAATTTAATTCCCTGTTCTGTTTTTAATTAATTCCCAATAATTTTCTGTCCTAGACAGCTAGCTAAATTGACACAAAAGAGACTGAGACTGTGAAGTTTTTATAAACCAGCAAGTTTCTCTATTCCATGGCCATTGTCTACAATCCCAAGTGAAAAGCAATAATTTATGAAGGCACCTCTAGCTCATAAATAGCAAAGGGATGAAAACTCTACCCACCACATAAAAATATAATTCCATCTCATAAGGAATCCAGACATAGGCTTGTGAAACAAAAAAATATACAAATGTGACACATTGAATTAAATTGATCATTCATAAAGTAAGTCTTAAAAGTGTCCAGAACTCACTCTTGACTTGGGTTTAATGGATAAGGTGGGATTTAAATTAGCATCTCTAGAATAGTCATGGTTATGCAAGATAGTAGTTTGTGGGGTTGGTCTTCTGAGTAGAAGAGAATAGTAGGAGTGATATTTAAACAGAAACAAAACATCAGTCAACAAGACAATGAAGAGGTGCTCTGATTCTTTCCAATTTGTCCCTGCCTTCTTTCATTCATTCAACCATACATCTAAAAACATTTATTTGGGGGCAATTATGTGTCTGGCATTATGTTACATTCTAAGGATAAATTTTAAAGATCCTCTAGTAGGGAGTTAAGACAATAAAACTATGCTGTATGATATTATAATGGTGGATACATGTAATTTTAATTTGTCCTAATCCATAAAACGTACAACACCTAGAGTGAATCCTAATGTAAACTATGGACTTTGGGTAATGGCAGTATGTCAGTTTAGGTTCATTGATTTTAATAAATGTACCACTCTGGTGGGGAATGTTGTTTAGTGGGGGCAGGAGGTATATACAATTACTCTGTATTTCAACTCAATTTTGCTGTGAACATAAAAGTGCTCTAAAAATAAACTCCTGTTAAAATTTTGTAAAAATCTATTCTCTTGAGAAGTATACAATCAAATGTGGCATCAGACATGTAATTTATAATGCAATATGACTTAAGAATTGATAACAGCAAAATGAAGCATGATGAAAAAGCAGGGGGGAAACTGACTGTAGAGGAAGATGACTGTGAAAGGCTTCGGTTTTCATACAAGAAAGCTGAAACAGAGCATGAAGATAGAAAGAGCACAGATAAAGCTGTTATTTTACATTAAGAAGTTGGAGATAAGCTGAGATGAGTAAGAAGTTTATTGTATAAAAATTTATACTTCATTCTGTAGGCAATAAGAAATTTCGAAGATATTTAAGCAGGGAGTGACATAGTAATAATAATAGCTAATGTTTATTGAACTCCAATGAAATCATGTTAGACCAACTTTATTTTTCTTATCATTTATCATTTATTCTCTCTTGTACTTTTCATCATAATTTCTGTTTGCATTCTAAATAGTTTCTTATATTCATTTTCCAATTTATTGATTTTTTCTTCAGCTGTATCTTGTCTTCTATCAAACCATTTCTTAACTGCAATTATACTATTCAGTTCCAAAATTTCTAATTGGTTCAAGACTTGAAAACCCATATCCGAAAAAATAGTTGCACACTGATGTTCATAGCAGCATTATTCACAGTGGCCAGGTCATGGAAGCAACTGAAGTGTCCTACAATAGATCGGCTATGAAGCTGTGGTACATATATACAATGGAATATTACTCAGCCATAAGAAGAGATAAAATACTGCCATTTGTGACAACATAGACGGACCTCGAGATAAATGGGCACTAGATTTATTGGATTGATCACTTTGTAAATTATATAAATGTCTAATTACCATGTTGTACACCTGAAATTAATATAATATTGTATGCCAACTGTAATTGACATCTGAATAATCATTTAAAAAACAAATGAAAAGCTGATCCAACTTTCCAATGTATTAGGGGTAATGACATTAATATAACCACTGTCAATACAATATACATATGATGTATTATTGAATTGTAGACCTGAAAATTATATAATCATATTAACCAATGTTATCCCAATAAACTTAATAAAATTTTTTAAAAAAATAAAAATAAGATAAAAATACTAATTAAAATATTATATATAAGAATAACAAATTTCTACTTGGTTCTTTTTAAAAAAAATTGTCTTCATTTGGCATTTTTCAGTTCTCTAATTTTTTCAAGCTTGCTTTTATTTATTGAAAAATGTTAAGTACAGTTGTTTTATTTTTCTGACTCTGAGTCTGATAATTCCAATATCTTAATTCTTCACAGATCTGTTTCTCCATACACTGTTTCATTACTTGTTTCAGCCTCAATTCTTTGTTATGCGTTACTCAACTTTGGGTTAGAATAAGATATACAACATTAAAAAAAATTTTGTCTTTTAGTAAATGTTAATTCAAAAAGCATCCAAATTTACATTCTAATTCCAGATGCTGAAATTTGTGGAAAATTTGCCCAGTCAATGTTAGACAATTTATTTAAGCTCTCTGGATTCCATTTTTCTTAACTTTAACAATAAGAATGATTAATATCTATAATTCTAGGGTTTATGTATGCAGATAAAATGAGAGAATACGCATGAAAAATAACTAGCATGTTATCAGGTGCAGAGTATAGGTTTAATAAATTTGAGTTTCTTTTTCCTTATTAAACCAAATATCAGAATTAAAATAAAATGTGGAAGATGAAAAAATCCAGAGAGAAAAGCAAGAAAAAAACTAGTAATGCTTTGTAGATAATACATCTAGAGTAATAACTATGAGTAATTGGGTAGGGTTTGAGGCATCTTTTAACTAGTAACGCAAATTTAATTCTGTAGGGACAGAATTAAATTCCAGGAATAAGGGGTGATCCCTTGAGGAATGGTTCACTGCAAGGACTGGCCCTGTTGACTGTCTCTTCATCAAAGCCCAAAACTGCTGGGTAGTACATGTGGACTGTAAGACAAAAGCTTATAAGTGTTTCTTTTAAGTAACTTAATACATAGTAGAAGACAATGGTCAATCAAGTACTAAATTACTCGGAAAAGACTATAAGTATCTCCATCTTCTGAATCTATAATCTGTACCATTACACTGATAATTTGATTTTATACTACCTTACATTGTTCATTATCTCTTCCAGACTAGGTTATATTTTTTCAGAGACTTATGTTTCTCTTATCCCCCACCCCCCACCCCCATAGCTCTTGGCTCAATGCTATCCTTTATAAATACTAAGTGAAATAAAGTGAATAAAGCAAAACCTGAGTGTCAATGGCAACCATCACAATGCCCTTAATTACATGGAGAAAGGTGATCTGGCTTTTATAATTTCATGGTCCTTTTAGAGAAAACCTAAATAAAAAGCATATTCTAGAACATATGTAAGAGTTTAGGAAACTGATTTATTCCTAAAATAGCTTTATTATATTATTTACTTTAAAAATGTCAATTATCCACTGCATTTGCTGAATAACAGCTTATATCTAAGATAGTTTTACATAAACAACCTAAATTTCACACCGGCAGCTAAAAAACATTACTGATGAAAATGAAACAAGGTGTGTAAAAACTGCTTAGAGAAAATTACCGAATATGCTTGCAATTTCAGATGGAAACAGAAACTTATCTCCTAGTCAGATTCCCTTACTACACATTAAATTATGCATTACGATTGTCGGTTATCTCTACAATAATAAGCTTAGGGAGAAAAACTTTTAATTTACTTGAGCTTTTAGAAGAAAAGTATCCTACGAATACAAAATAATTCATGTGCAATGATGCAGTGTAGAATTTTAACATCGCTCTGTAGCATGTACTGGACAGTTAAATGCACCAGAAACCATGTTAGTTGCTATGTCGCAGACAAGTAGGACTGAGATTACTTCTGGCTGGGGATTTGGGAAGGGTGTTATGGAAGAGGTGGCGATTAAGGAGGTCTCTGACAGATTAATAAAATTTAGAATGAAATAATGGTGGGAAAAGTAATCCAAGAGTTGGAAAAAGGATGAGAAAAATGTAGAGAGATGGAAAAGAGGCACATTAGTTGAATAAGAAACAGTTCGGTTTGAATAAAATATAATATTCATCAAAGTAATACTAAGAAATGGAAGAGCCATATACTTTGAATTTAGGCTTTGGAATCAGACAAATCCAAACTGAAATCCTGGCA